ACACCCGGGTGTGGGATCCGGGTGTGCACCAATCAGTGTCCTTATTATAATAGAATTATGTAAATGAATAAATTTGACACACTTGAAATTTGAACTCTAGTTCTATATGAAATAACTAAGGATTCCCAACCACTTGAGCTGTTTCTAGCTGTTTGGAACGAGGTGCATTATATTATATTTAATATATATCTTCATAATTCAATTAACCTAGTTTTTTAATCGATTAAATCAGTTCAATCACTAAAACCATGAATTGAAGGTTAAAGCGGTTTAACCTCCAATTCGATTTTAAAAATAATGCCAAAATCTCAAACTTTAAAATCCAAATTAGGGATTTTTTGAGTCTAAGAACCAAGTTAAGGGTTAGTCCAATAGTTGAGAGACTAAATTGGGGATTTAAACTAATTTAAAACTAAATGTCAAGACACATATACTAAAAAAAAAAAAAAAGGTGTATACTATTATTGAAGTTCAATCTCTCACTTTTTAAGGGAAAAAAAAAAAAGAAAAGGAAGAAGAAGAGGACAACAAGTTTGTCTTATTTAGACCTGGCAAACATGTTGGATTGGGTGGATTTGGATTGGGCCATCTCGAATTTTGGGTTTTTTGGATTGGGTCATTTCAGGTGTCGGGTTAAAGAAGTAGACCCATGACCCACCCACATAGGTCTCGGATTAGGTCGGGTGGACCTAATTTTTAAAAAATTAAAATTAAAAATAAAAATTTTCTATATTTTTCTCTATTTTTCTTTAACAAAGTCTAATACTAATTAACTATTTAATTAGAAAAATTTATTAAACACTAATTTTCATTTAATGATTCAATTTTCATTCGAATCTCAAGAAAGGAAAATGGAAAGATTACTAATTATATAGGTGAAACTAAAACATATATTAAATATATAGTGCCTATACAATATTTAGAATTCATAATTTCACAAAGGCATTAACCTTCATTAAAAGAAAAGATATGAAGGATTAGAGTTCAAAAAACAAATCCAATACATATGTTAATATCTAGTATCTATTCAATATTTATAAGGATATTATACAAAAAAATACAGTTCTATTAATATTTAGAAGGGCATTATACAAAAAATATAGTCCTATTCAATTTTAAAGTTCAAAAGGCAAATTCAAAATATATCTAAACAAATACAAGAAGAAATTGGATCGATATTGATTTTTATTAACTAGGAGCAAATTATTAATTAAGAACAAATTAGTAAATCTAGAACAAATTAGTAAATCTAGAACAAATTAGCAACTAAGAATAAAACTCGATGTTCTTGATGTTCTTATCATTGTGCTTCTAATAGTGATGAGAGTACCTCAACCACTGGCTTTTGATTTTCAGTAGGCATTCTTGTTTTTTATTTTTTTTTAAAAGATCTTTTTGACAATGCTATATGACACAACTCACTATGTGCCACTTAATTTGATTTTTGACATAACTACCACCAAAGAGAAGGATTAGAGAGCTTGAGATGAAGAAGGGGAAAGCAAGAGTGGAGAAGAGGAAAAGTTGAAAAAAAATGAAACTAGCAGGAGGTTAGAGTTTGAGTATTTTATTTATTTCTACTTTTAGGATTAGAAAATTAGAAATTTAAAATTAATTTTTAAATAATCTAATAAAATATAAATAATAAAAGTTCAGGTAATTTTGAGTGACTCGACCCACCCGTGACCCAACCCATTCAAGTTCGGGTAAATTCAGTCCAAATCATTTCAGATTTCAAATTAACATATAAGACCCATCACCCAACTTATAACAAATGAGTTGGATCAAATTTTTGGATTGGATCCAATTTTGCGAGATCTAGTCTTATTTTGCCCACCAACATTGATCCCTTTTCTTTCCTTATATTTAAAAAACAAAACCTGCAATGAAAAGACAAAGGTTAAATGTCAATTTTGGTCTTTAACTTTAAAGTTTTACACAATTTTTGTCTCTTAACTTTTTTTATGTGCTTTTTTGATCCTTCAATTATGAAAAATATACCTTTTTAGTCCCTTCATCAATTAATGTATTAGGTTTGTCCAAATATGCACATTTGTAATCCCTTAACTTATAATATATTTAAATTTTTTGTCCCTCAACTTAAAAGTTTAGGGATTAAAAATGTGTATATTTAGATAAACTTAATGAATTAACTAATGAAAAGATTAAAAAAATATAATTTTCATAGTTGAAGAACTAAAAAAGTACATAAAACGGTTAGAGATGAAAACATTACAAAATCCTAAAGTTGAGGGACTAGAATTAGTATTTAACCATGGTTAAATCCCCATTTTGGTCCCTGAACTATTGTACGGACCCCCGATTTGGTCCTTGAACTAAAGAAATCCCTGATTTGGTCCCTAAACTATTGTACGGACCCCCGATTTGGTCCCCACTGTTTATAATTTGACCTAATTTGGTCCTTGAACTATTGTACGGACCCCCAATTTGATCCTTACTGTTTACAATTTCGCCCCAATTTGGTCCTTGAGCTATTATTTAACAGAAGGACCAAGTTGGGGCTAAATTGGTAAACAGTAGGGACCAAATTGAGGATCCGTATAATAGTTTAGGGACTAACTCGGGGTCCGTACAATAGTTTAGGGACCA